TCAAAGACGGGGCCCCTGAGCCTGGGCAGACAGGATCCTGAGTTTGTGGGAAGTTGGTCTCAAAGAATCTATAGGAGAAAGAAAGTGGTCCTCTAAATGGAAGCCTCCAACAGGTCCTCCTGGGGAGAAAGACTCCAAAAGGAGCCTGTTTGGGTTGAGATACTAAAGTTGCCCCCAAAATCTCCTGCCCAGAGGTGGGGCTTTTAAAAATTGCTTAAATCACGGGAGCAGGGATTTCCTCAGTGGATTCAGGGTATTGATGAGCTCAGAAAAATGACTGTGTTTCTGAGGGCAGGAGAGTAAAAACAGAAGTGGTACATAATAGTTTCATACATTTATGGGTGCAGGGTGTGTGTTTGTGTGTGTGTGTGTGTGTGTGTGTGTGAGAGAGAGAGAGAGAGAGACAGACAGAGAGAGAGAGAGAGAGAGAGAGAGAGAGATCACATCTGGAACAGTAGCATTTTTTTGTCTCTTTAAACATTTACCATTTCAAGTTCCTCTCTCCTAGTTCTTTGCACAATATGTGTGCATGGCTGTAAGCTGTAGTCACCCCACTGTGCTGTACAACACTAGAATGTATTCCTTCTGTCTAACGCTGCTTTGATGCCCAGGAGCCAACTTCCCTCTACCCCTCTTCCCCCTCTACCCTTTCCAGCTTTTGACGATCACTATTCTACTCTCTGCCTCTATGAGGTTAAAGTTTTTAGTTTCTTCACGAGTGAGAACATGAGGTATTCGTCTTTTGCTTAGAGCATTCTGTTCTTAGCAGGGCCTGACCTCAGGAGAAGCTAGTTGGCCAAAACTAGTTAACCAGAGCCCAACCTCCTGTAGTTTTACTAGATCCTGAGTGATCTGGGGAAGAGAAATGCTCAATTCCTTTTACCTCTTGCCTCCTACACAATAGAAGGGAATACCCAGCTCCAGCCCGCGTGAGCCATTTTTTTTCCCCTTTGAAAAGAAGAGGGGGAAAAAAACCACACTGAGAGATGTTTGTGAAGTTCACAGACTCGGAGCAGACTCCTGAAAAGGCTGAGAAGTAACCATGGCACTGTGGGTGGCTGTTCCACCTCACCTCACCATCATGTATGATGTTGGAACACACACAGCACCTCTCATGGGGCGTGGGCTTCCTCCCAATATGGCAGCCTTGGAGAATCCAGGCATCTTCTATGGAGACTTGGGGCTGACAGCCGGGGAAGGAGAATGTTTCTAATCATCTCAAAGCCTAGGCTTGGGACTTTCCCCCATCGTGCTTGGAATCAAAACTTTCCCTGGGAGAGTGTCCTGCGTTCAGAGGAAGGGCACGGGGAAGGTGACAGACTCGTGGGGTATTGATCTCATAGCTGGATTAATCCATAAATGAGTTCATTGCTGAAAGCGGTGGTAGAGGTTGTGGCCTGACTAGAGGAAGTGGGTCACTGAGGGTGTAACCTGGGAAAATATAATCTTGTCCCTGACCTCTTCTTATCTTTCTGGCTCTCTTGTTCTAGTTCTGCTTTCTGGCTAATGTGGGGTAAGCAGCTCTCCTCCACCGTGTTTTTCTGCCGCGACTGTTCCGCCTTGGTGCCAGCTGATCATGGACGAAAACTCTGAAACTTTGAGCCAAAATAGACCTTTTCTCATCTCAGGGATGTTCATCCCAGCAACAGAAAGGTGACCAGGATAACCCATATTCCATCAGTGAAGCAAGTTGTAAAAACCGGCATGAATTCACATGAAGGGGAATAAGACTCTACCTTCTAAAAAGAGAAGTAGGGCAGAGGCAACCATCTTTTTAAAATCATAGATCCAGACTGAGAGATGCGCTGGAGATGAAAAGTTTAAAGAGCACACAATAAGAGAGAGAAACGGTGGCCATGCTGAGAATACGTGTATCCGAGTCGCTGTAATTGTTTAGCGAAGGAATTCCTTCTTTTTTTTTTTTCAGCTTTAATGAGTCTATTGGTACATTTTAGGGATACAGTACAGTTACATTCATTGTTGGGAGGAGCTACTTCTTGACAGGCACAGAGCTACAGTACATTTCCCAGCATTCTTTGCAGTTGGGCGTGGTCATGTGACTGAGACCCAGCCAATGGGAATGCAAGGAGAAGGAATGTATTCCATTTCCAAACCTAGCCAATCCCTATAACTGCATCACCTTCCAGAACTCCATTTCCTGTATCCAGCTACAGGTTCTAGCAGACAGTATCTGGGGAGGCTATAGGGAGTGACAGAGCCATTAGATGGGTGAAAGCGAGGTCTGTGGATGATTTCTGAAAGAAGTGCCCAGCAGCTACTGATCCAGGAACGCTCACACTGAACCACTGAGTGAGTGAGAACTGAGCTTCAATGATGTTAACTAACTTCAGTCATGTCTAATATACACAGAGCAACTTCAGGAAGAGGTCTAAAGTAGCATTTGCAAAAGACAGGAGTCCTGGAGCCTGAGGCAGGAGGATTGAAAGTTCAAGCCCAGCCTGGGCAACTTAGTGAGAACTTGTCTCAAAATAAAATAAAAAGGGGCGGATGTAGGGGAGGCCCTGGGTTCAATCCACAAGAGTGACGAGAGAGAGAGAGAGAGAGAGAGAGAGAGAGAGAGAGAGAGAGAGAGAGGGCAGCAACCCATAAATGTAAAGACTGCGCTCCAAATTTCGAAAGGCATCCTTGAAAACTGAACCCCGGCCACCTCATGCTGATTCCAAGTCACGCACTTTCACTCAAGTCCGAATCACCGTCGCCTCTCTGGCAAAGGTGCTCGGTGCTGCTAATCGCCAGGGAAATTGCAAATCAAACCCACGATGAGCCTCGCAGTTGCTTCCCACCCGTTGGGATGGGTGTAGAGGAAACAGGAACAGAGTGTTGGCAGAGTTGTGGAGAAACCGCAACCCTTGAGAGCGGCTGGTGGGGGTACAAAATAGTGCAGCCACTGTGGAAAACAGTATGAGGGGTCCTCCAAAAATTCAAAATAGAATGACTGTAAGATCCCGCAATTTCCCTCCTGGCTAGGCACCCAGAAGAGCTGAAATCAAGCACTCAATCAGGAATCGGTACACTGGAGTTCAAAGCAGCACCAGTACCCGTGGCAGGTGATTAAGTCCAGGACTCCCAGCAGCTGCAAAGGTCCCTGGATGTCTCCGCCCTTTTATCGTCCTGGTTCCTTTCCCATCACTAAGCCACAGTTAGTACCTGAGACCTGCAGCTTGGGGGAAGAGAGGTTCCTCCTGGCTCGGGGCTTTGGGCCATGGCTGGCTGTGGTGGGCTGGTTCAGAAGTCAGATGGCAGAAAGGAGTACGGTGGATGCGACCCGCTGTGCTTTGGATCCGAAATGTCCCCCAAGGCCTCAGGGACTCAGGCGGGGCTTGTGGAAGGGTCCCTGGATTGTTGGGGACACTGCAGCTGTCTTGCTGTTAGGGGGCGAGGCTTGATTAGAAGTGGGTCACTGGGGGCAGGACACGGACATGACCTTCCTCCCAGGGTCCCCTTTGAGCCTGCTTCCTGATCACCACGACATGAGGGGCTTCGCCCCACCGCGCCCAAAACATAACACCTATGCAGGAGTTCCGCATTGGCGTGGCACCTGTGCACCCCCTCCTGTAGGCAGTAAGGAACCCCTAGGAGGCTCGTACACCCAACTCAGCACAGCTTCGGTGCCCACAGCCGCTACACTGTACCGTCCAGAGGATGACAGAGAACAAAGCGTGGGCATTCGTTACAGATACATCTTGGGTATGCGGCTGATGGTCTCCGCCGGTGCAGAACCTGCAGTTCTGGAGGCCTGTCCGTATATATTTTGTCGATGAAAACAGTAGAATATAAAGCCACCACTGCTTTAACCTGTGCTTGGCTTCATTTTGCCCCGTGGTGCGGATCGCTAAGCGGACTCCGGCTGAAGCCACATCCGGGTTGAGCTCCTTCCTCTGCCTCTTCCTGCCCCCAAGGGGCCAGTGTGACCAGAGTAGAAAGGGAGGTGACAGTTACAAGAGGCTTTGAGGGACATCCTAAGGGGTGGGTCCCTGAGCTCTCGGGTGCAGCCTGTGCTTGTCTGCCTGGGTGGGCAGTGGCGATCCTGACGCCGACTTGAAATCAGCCAACATCCGCTAAAGAAACCAGCCCCTTTCGGTGGCTGCCCCGCTCCTGCAGCCTGGAGCTGACTCGTTGTGACTTCTCTGCCAGAGCGGATCTTTCTGAACAGCCTGGGGCCGCGAGCTGACGCTATATCCCTGAAATCCACTAGAGGGCAGCGCACCGCTTCCCGTGGGTGCTGCGGAGTCCGCGGCGGAAAAGACCTGAAGGAATCAGGTAGAGGTCCCTGCACTCACTTAACTGCATTTCTCTGCCTTCTAAGCCGTATGAGGGGACCTGCATGTGGTCCCTCTGGAGGGACCCTCTCCCTGTCACTGCGTGTCACAAACATATACTGGTAAAAAAAAAAGGTTCCAGAGGAAATAGGGTTCTTTCAGACGTGGCTAGTTAGGGATCTTGAGACGAAAGCCTTGTGGATTTCGAGCCAGTCCAAACCCCATGACAGATGTCTTTACAAGAGAAAGGAGAGGGAGATCCGGGTACACAAAGAAAGCCACGTGGAGGCAGAGGCAGGGACCGGAACAGCCACGGACACCGAGGATCACTGCAGCTGGAGAAGGACACAGCCCCCATCCTGCATCTTCAGAGGGAACCCGGGCTGCAGACGCCTCTGCCGGCGGCCTCCAGGGCTACGAGACAGTAGGCACCCTGTGTGTCAGACCGGATCAGAGGTCCTTCTGGTGACCCGTTTACCGCGATGGCCCTTTAAAGGCTGTTTCCCAATACAGTCGTCTCCTGAGCCTCTGGGGGTGCTCAAGACTTCAATGGGCGCATTTTGACAGGGTCAGAACTCGGCTGTGACAACTGGCATTGATTAGTGTTTATCCCAAGGGCAAGGGAAGGACTATCGATGAACAAATTAGACTCCAAACATTTACCGCGTTTCCCCCTTGGAGATTACACATCCCCGCCCTAGCAGCGTTACTCTAAGTCACCTGATTTTCTTCGGCCGATGAAACGTGAGCAGTCATCCTCCTGGGAGGCCATCGCTGGCCTGATGGTTCCAGGCACCCTCCCCTCTCCGGAACCTTCTTCCTCACCGCGGAGTCGAGGCCAACGCCTGGAGGAGTTGAGAGCAAGATTCCGCGCGCGTGTCTGGGGTCAAAGCTCAGCCCGGGCTGGAGGCCAGTGAGGCTCAACTCCAAGCACGGCCCCAAGACCTCAGCGAGCGAGCGCCGGCCCCCCGGAGCCCGAGGGAGAACGGAGACCCGGAAGGTCCTCCGTCAGCCCCCAGCGGTGGTTGAGAGGGTGGCTTTGCGCCTCGGTACTTTTCGGGTTAATCGTGATTGTCCGCTTGGCTAGACTGGGAGACTCCTGGAGAGGAGACCGGACTGAGAGAGCCCTGACCTCATCCGTCAATGGAGCCATCAAGTTCACGGTCATCTGGTCTACCAGGAAGCGGGTCACGGGGCTGACTTTGGGGTCGATATCTCGTCCCTGGCCCCTTGCTCTCCGGCTCTCCCACCACCTCTGCTTTCCAGCCGCTCTGAGCTGGGCAGCTTTCCCTCCTCTCGCCCTTTCTGCCTCGATGCCTCTGCGGTGGACGGAGACGCCTGAAACCAGGAGCCGAGAGCAGCTTCTCCCTCCTTCCTTAAACAATGGGTGTCAGGTATGTTTGTCCCGGCAATGGCGAGCTGGCTCTTGGGCAGGTGGATTCATCTGTGTGTGGTTCGGATGCATACGGTCGTTCTGAAAACTGCACAGCGAACTTTACAGCGGTGGGGGTGACCTCCCAACCTTTCTGGAGTCCGCATTATTATGCTTTACTGTCCACAAAGCTGATGGTGAGGCTGGAGGGTTCACGGGCTGTAATGTTTACTAGTACAGCACCGGCCAAGGCCGAATGCTCAGCGTGGGGTCCTGCCTCGCGTACCGGCGGTGCAGGCCATATTGGGAAGTACGGATTTCCAAAGAATTATTTTGGGAGTCCTTATGGTTCTCCAAATCAATGTAGAGTCCATAGCCCTACTCCAGTCGACCTCTCTTTGTTTTTGCTTGCTAAGGGTTATTCTAGCATCCTGAGAGAGATTTACCAAAAAAAGGAAAGAAAAAAAAAAAGCAACTTCCTGGCTTTTGCACATGAAGAGCCTGCTTAGAGATTCTGAATCTTGACTTCATGAACATAAAAAATTTAAGCTCTGAAGGCATCTGGATGAAAAACCCGGCCACAGGGCCCTGGCTGTCAAGGGGCCGGGGAGGAGGGAAATCGGGACTCATGGTTGGATGGGAGCAGAGACCCGGTTTCGAGCGATGGCGACCACAGTCACAGGACGTAGTGAACGTGCCTAACTCCTGCTGCCCTGTGCATTTACAACGGTGGAGACAGAAAACCGTGTTCTGTCCATTTTACCGCAATTTTAAAAATAAAGTCTACTAAATAACAAAGGAGTCCAGCCATAAATAATAGATGTGGAAGAAAACCCATCAGCCTGCGTGAGCTTTTCTTGCAACAGAATTAAGCAGGGTTCTTCGAGAAGAGTCAGACGAGAGGGAAAGGAATTTCGGCGGTGGCCCAGAGACTGAACCTTTCATGCTGCTCTCTGAAGACCCCACCCCGGCGCCCTCCCCAGGAGACCAGGATACGGAGAGCTCCAGAGTCCCCCTTGTCTTGCATGTGGTGGTCCCCAGACCAGAGAGGCTGCAGAGGCCACGCGTTAAAGGACAGCGAAGCGGGTCCCCGGTCCCCGCGCTACCACCGCCTCCCCAGCTCTCAGCACCCACACGGACGGACGGACGGACGGACGGCTGACTCCCAAAGCCCCTGTCATTCTCTTGCCACCAGAGCAGACTCTGCCCGGCTCAGTCAGCGACACAAAGGGCTGGGACAACAAGATAAACCCCTGGGTGGGTGCAGGAAGCCTTGCCCCGTGGAGGATGGCATGGTGGCTCTTTGCTCTCGTGCCTTTGCAACAGACCCACTGAGACCTTCATAAAACCACAAATGCAAAATTTTGCACAAAATGGGGGAGCTGCTACTACCAAGAGGGCCCTTAAAAAAAAAGCCCTCTGGTTTCACTTTGTCTTAGTTGGCTTAAAAGATCACTAATTTAGAGGTCACACAGCTGGACGGCCCATCCCTGCCTCCCCACTGGCGTTGCCATAGATAATGCCTCTCGCGGGTGTCATGGTAACAGTTGCCTAGGTTACTTCTTGAGGCCCCAGGGCTGCTTCTGCTGTGAACAGACTCCTCCTGGGGCCTGAAGCTGTCTGATGGGTGGTGAAACGGGACAAAAAACCTTGGCACCCCTTCTTGCGTCTGTCTTCTCTGCTACCTCACCCATGGTTCACATCGCGCTCAGCTCTGCACATTTGCAGGCTGACTGCTCTCTGGAGCGGTGTCTTTTGCTGCTGCTGTTTCCTTTGTCTCTTCCCTTCTTTCCCCACCCTCCTTCAGCAGCTGGGGCAGTTGAACCCAAGGTTCTTCCTTCCTATCATGAGGTCCAGCCCCACGAGGCCTGGATGTTTTTTAACAGGGAGATGGCGCCCACCACGTGAAAATGTCACGATCTCCGTGGGGGCAAAGGAACCCTTCTTCATCGCAGACGGAGATGTGTACCGGTACAGCCGCTGTGGAGGTCAGCATGGGGATGGCGCCAGAAACCGCAGAGAAAGTCCGCTTGACCCGGCTATACCTCTTCTGGGTGTCTTCCCAACAGGATTAAAATATCGGCCGGGGATGTAGCTCGGGGGCACCGCGCCTGCCTGGCAAGTGCACGGACCTGAGTTCGAGTCCCGGTAGGTACAAAACAAACAAACAAACAAACAACAAAAAAAAAACCACGTGGTTTTTCTTATATGAGAAACAATGTATAAAGAGTTTAAAGAACAAAATAAAGGACACATGATAGAAGACAGGGAGATAGACCTTGTGGACAGGGGAAGGCGATCTAGGTTAGGGAGCGAGGAGGGGAGGAGAAAAAAGGGGAAGTAAAACCGATCAAGATGCGAGTGAGTACGGCCAAGTCCCCACACTGAATGTGTTTCTTATGTATCGCAAACACGTACTCATAAAAATAGAAAAAAAGGGTAAAAAAGAAAATCCAACAACTTCTAGGACAAACTGACTGTGATCCCCTAGTGTTCTGAGTCTAGAACTGGGCTCCCGACCAAGGGAAACATTGGACCTGAGTCCACCCCAGCGACCCATAAAAGGTCACAGCCCCCTGTTCTTGAAGCAGCGGCGCCCTCTTCTCCTAAGTGACCCGCGCTGCAATCTTCTGCGCATGCGGGGACCCGCCCGCTAACCTGCCTGCGAGGCCACTTCCGGGGTCACTGGTCAGGACCGCTGCTCCCCACCACTCCAACCCGAATGGCCGAGCTGTCCCCGGATGTCCCCGGATGTCCCGCGTGCTGGTTCCTTCCTTTCACCACCCTTGATTTCCGACTCCTTTCTGGCTGCATGCTGGGGTCATCTTTCGGGTAAGGCCTTGCACCCCCAGATCCTTATCTGGACTGTCCTGGGGGGACAAGCCGACACTGTAGCTGGATCATTTATCCTCCGGAACCAGGACCCCCCGGGAGAACGCAAAGCCCCATGGTCAATCATCCCCCCGGCTGACGCTCCCTGGAGTACCGCAGGCAGACCAGGTCGTGCAGCTGTCCACCCCAGCATCCGGTCTCCCCGCACGAGAGGAACAGGAGCCACACGCCTTGCACATGCCCTGAACGCACCAGTCCCTGCATTCATCATTTTATTAAAAGCAGTCGCCTCGAGCCCGGCCCAAGAGGCACTCAGTATGTTATAAATTAACCATGGCAGGGACTCATCCAGGAGCCCCGCCAGCTGGATGCCGGCCCTCCAGTCCATGCAGACTCGCTGCCCAGTAGGACCTGTCAGAGTCTCCTTGCTCAGCCCAGGCTCAGATACCGCAGTTTTTCGTCATCTCTTCACCAGTGCACCAGGGTTCAACAGTATTCGGAATAATCTTCTTCCACGTAGTTTGAAGGGAACCAGCCAATCTGGAAAGAGAAAAGAAATCCATCAGGGCAGGCTCGGTATATTCTCCTGCTCCTCAATATACCAGCAGGCTTCTGCCTGCCTCAGGGCCTTTGCATGTGCTGTTTCTTCTACCCCAGAAAATATATCATCCAAACACACGCTAGGGTAACCCACCACCACCTGCTAAAAATGTCTGCTTATAAGTCACCTTACCAGGAAAGCCCTACTCTCCCCCTATTGAAATGCAAGTGCTACCCAAACACTGCACATCTCCGTTCCCTGCTTCATCTTTCTCCATAGTGCCAGCATCTGATTAGTCACACATTTTACTTATTTATAGGCTTTATTTTTATACCCCTCGACACACAACAAAGCGAGCTTTACAAAGGTGAAGATTTTTGTCTGCCTTACTCACCACTGAATCCCAAGAGCTTAGAAAAGTCCCTCATACAGAGTCCATACTTAATAAATACTTGTTGGAGAAACAGACAGTCTGACTAGCGGACGCATGGGTCAGTCGATGACAGTCAGTGGGTGGATAAAGGCACAGAGAGAAGTGGATGGTGCACAAGTAGAGGTGAGTATTAGCTGAATGAGAGGCAGGCCTGTGAGTGTGGATGGTGGGTGGGTGGGTGGACAGAGAGGTGAATGGACAGGTGCATAAAGAGAGGTGTATGGATGCATGGAGAGAAGATGGGTGAGTTGTGAATGGATCACAGACGAATCCTGTACATCGCAGACCTCCCTACGCACATGGAGAACGCCTCTCGACGTCCTCCCCTGCTCGATAAATGTATCCTCCAATCTCCGTAACGAACCTACTCACCTCGGCAATTATCCTGTTCAACTTTTCCCCGACCTATGTCCCTCCACTAGGATCTAAATAACTGGTGTCCTTGCCTCTACTCAACAAGTATTTTGAAGGAATCATTCCGGTGAGGAAGAATTCTAGGGGGCCAGAAACTCATCCATGGATGAATTAAAGAAGGTGCTTTGCCTGGTGGAACAAAAATGAGAGCTGAGCGGAAGCAAGTTGGTTTGAAGAGACTCGAGGCCCATCCCAGTCCTCAAAGTCTAAATTTAAGCAGGCAGAAAAGCCCAGTGGTTAGGGTCAGGTCTGCCTCTTCACACATTCAGTATTTGCCGAGTGTGTGCTGGGCACTGTTCCGAGCACTGGCGATAATGCAGTGAGCCAGACAGATACAAATCCCTGGCTTTGTGTCCCCTCCACACGACAATCCTGATTTTTTTTTTTTTACCCCAGGGCCTTTGCACATGCTGGTTCTTTTGTCTGCAACATTTCCCCCAACCCCACTGATGACTCTCTTATTTAGTTAACCTTATTTGTTCCCCACCAATCAGCTTGGCCTCTCAGAAGTCATCCAAAATTGCTCCTAGGGTGGGCCAGGGCTCTCTTGGGATGCCTCTGTCACCCCGTGACACCCCAACCCAATCTGGAGCCCTCAATGTTGTCACGGCTGGATTACAAGTCTGCAGGTTGAGGCTACATACTCCTGACTAGTGAGATTCACGAGGGTAGTAATTTTATCATGCTCAGCACCCTGCAGAATGCCTGGCACGTAGTAGGTGCTTGACAAGTCAATGTAGGTTGCACAAGTGAATTAAACATCTGCGTCCCTGCGTCCAACTGCACCCTTCCTCCTCCGCTCCACAATCCCAGCGCAGCTCCCCCACGGCCGGGTCACCCACACCCACGCTCTTGCCCCGGTTGCCCATCCCTGCGTCCTCACCCGGCCATAGATCTCCCCTCGCCACCAGCCTTGCTGTCCCTTTTTGCTGAGGATCTTGATGATGTCGCCCTCCTTAAGAGACAGCTCTGACCGGTCCCTGGCGCAGAAGTCATAGCGGGCTTTGGCTGTGCCAAAATACTTGCTGCTCCCAGCTGCGGAGGGAGAAGAGGTTGGTAAGCGGCTGGCCCACGTCCCGCCGGGTGGGGGCAGTAGAGAGCCGACGCGCTCGAGAGCCTGCTCCAGATGCGGCCCCTCCGCCGCCGGCTGTGCGGCGCGTGGGTGTTCGCGATGTTTACAGCTGTAAAGCCAGCAGCATCCTCCTGCTCCAGATTTAGAAAATACAACCAGCTTGGAAATTGTTTTAATGAGTTTCGTATACAACTGGCCCTCTGTTTCTGTCGATCCTGCATCCACGGATCCAGCCAGACGCAAACCAAAAATATTCAAGAAAAAAGAACTGTGGCCACGCCAAACGCGTGCAGACTCGTCCTCTTTGTCACTGCTCCCCGAACAGTGCAGGACAACTGTTTCCACGGCACTTACATGGTGTGAGATACTACAAGTCAACTGGAGGTGATTTCAAACCTACAGGAGGATGTGTACAAGCTTTACGCAAATATTGCGCTATTTTGCATAAGGAACTTGAGTATCTGTGGATTTGGGAGGATCCTAGACCCAATCCTCCCCAGGGGCAAAAGGATGAATGCACTTTGTGGTGCACACCTGTAATCCCAGCACTCAGAAAGCTGAGGCAGGAGGATCTCCCTGAGTTTGAGGCCAGCCTGGACTACATAGTGAGTAGACCGTGTCTCAAAAGAACTAATTAACTAACTAAATAAATAAATGGAATACCACATTTTAATGACAATTTTTAAACCCTCTTTTTAAAAAGTTTGGACAGATAAGAATTCAGAAACTATCTTACCCGTGTGACTTTTCTGAAAAATGTACTGCAGAATGCATACCGGCAAAATGGAATATGAGTCACAATTTAAAATTTTTAAATAAAGAAAAGCAGGGCAAACAAATACAGGTGGATGCTAAAGAATTCTTCATAATGTACTTGTGGAGTTAAATGCAATTGTGAGGAATGGACTCCCGAAGTTGTCGCTGTAATTGTGTTAACTCGTAGCAAACTGTCACCAATGTACCCAACGATGCCAGATCACTCCAGCAAAGCTGGTAGGTGACGGACGCAAAAGACCCACCTGGTGGCTTGCTGATGGCTCTTCTCTCGGGCTCCTTGTACGGGAACTGCAAGGTGGTGTCCAGAGACTTGAAGCAATCCTTCAGGGAGTTCTGCTGGTAAAACTCCACCAGCTCCTGGAAGGGGAACAGCACCAATCCATGCTATCCCAGCTGGCCTGCCCACAATGGGAGTCCTTTTCCGGACTCCCTGGAAAATGATTACCTGACCCCTTCCCATGTCTCCTCATAGCCAATTCATTCTCTTCCAGATACACTTAACACAGAGCTCACCAAATCCAGTGCCTGCTGTGAGCGACACGGACCTTACCTTCAATAGTAATAATTATGATGATGATGGTGATAGTTTTTAAGCACCAATATGCTTATCTAGGTCTTCTAAAAATCCTGCATAGGGAAAATGTTCATGATTCTGTCTTATAAATGGAGAGACCAAGTCCAGAAAAGCCAAGTTCCTTATAAGCTAAGTTCCAATGGTGAGGAAATAATCAGGCAAGTCAAAGTTATCAGATACTCCGCAAAACAAGGCACTCTGTGTTTGGGAATATCCCAAATGCGAAGGTCATAAAAGCTTTTTTTTAATGAAGAAATTATTGCAAACCAAAGACTAAGGAGGGGGAAACCAAATGCGGTGTGTGATGCCTGATCAGGTCCTAGTGGGGGAAACAGCTTAAAAATTATAACTGGTGCAACTGAGCGGTTTCCAGTATGAATGGTGTAGAATTAGATCGTAATTTTGCATCGATATTCAGTTTCCTACGTGTGCTAATGACGCTGCTTGGGTGTAAGGATGTCTTGGCTGTTGGAAGACTTGTGCTAAAGTCATCTGGGGCAAAGAATTCTCATTGTTTTCCAATCGTGCAGAAAAAAAATGTATAGGAGGCAGAAAGATGGGGGAGTAAAAGAAGTAGATTATTAACAAACAGTAAATGGACATGAGAGGGTCATTAGACGTTCATTCCATTATTACAGCACTGCTTCTGACAGTTTTGAGAAATAAGAAACGGGAGCTTAGCGCAGTGGGACACACCTGTAACCCCAGCACTCCTGGCTGAGCCCGGGGAGACAGCAAACTCAAGCAACTTAGTGAATTAGCAAGAGCTTGTCTCAAAATGTAAAAAATGGAAAAGGGGCTGGGAAAGTGGCTTAGTGTGAAGGTCTTGGGTTCAATCCCCCGGCACCACAGACAAACAAACTAACTAAGAAACAAAAAGTTTCAGCTGGCGTGGTGGCAACGGTTCCTTTGAGGACCGAGTGAAATCTAAGACGTCCCCCTTCCAAAATAAAAGCCAGGTACTTCAGGTACAGAATTCTGGATTTTCATTCGGAGGACCCCTCGACTCCAAAAGGACCCTCAGGCCCAGGTAAGACCCACGTGTCTTAGACCAAGAGGCTTAGAAGGTCTAAAAAACATCAAAAAGCACAGTGTGCCGAAGACAAGTAAAAATACTCAAAAGGCACTTGGATTCTTAGCGGATTACTCAGAGCTAAATGTGGAAGCCTCTGACAGGATGGGCTGTGATACTCTGTGACACCTCAGTTCCAGCCGGGATTAACCGGGATTAACCGGGATTAACTCAGAGCCCCAGCTCCACGGTGCTGGCCTTGCCCTGTCCATCTCACTGGGTCCTTAGGAGCGGAGGCTGAAGGCCCGCTGTTCCACGCTGCCTTTAGACGGGCCACTCTGAGGACGGAAAATGGGGTGGGGGTTCCCCGCGATGGGGTTCTGGGAGGCTGGGTTGGGCAGAGACTGGCCCTTACCAAAAGCCCCCGGAAAGCCTTCCTCTCTGTGATCCGGTACAGTCCTTCTGACGTCGTGATTTTAATATGTTTGACTTCGACGTTAAACCTAGGACCAGAAAGTGAAAGACCGGATGAGTAGGGCTCTGACTCTCAAATAAAGGGAGTCAGAGGGCCGGGGATGTAGCTCAGTGGTTCCGCCACCTGCCTCGCAAGCGCAAGGTCCCGAGTTCGATCCCCGGTACCAATTTTTAAAAAAGGGCAATCAAATAAAGGGAGTCATCTTCCCGGTGACGGGGCTCTGGCCGACACAACCGCGTCGGCCACTACGGCGACCTACAAATCCCTCTCGCTAAAACCCCCCAGAAACACAAAGGGAAAAAAGAACGCCAAAGGGGAGGGGAATCCCCAGAGGTCAAAACCACAGATGAAACGAAAAGCTGAACAAGAAAGCAAGAGCCAATGCTAAGGCTGCTCTCCCAGTTCCCCGAGACTGGACCATCCAAACAACTACACCTTCCGCCAAACAGGTAAGCTACAAAGACGCAGAGGGGCTGGTGAGAAAGCTTCTGTCTTGGATCCAAAGCAGAGAAGAAAGCTTCTTCTGAGAATTCCTACCTCGTACGCGCTCTCTTGCAAAGTCTGGGGTTTAAGGTGAAGAAAATATAAATCATTTTTTTAAATTAATTTTTAAACAAATAAATAAATGTAGGCCGAGAAGCTAAGAAAGTAACCCTTAAAAATCAAACCTTAATAGGGCCGGGGATGTAGCTCAGCGGTTCGGTGGCCCGCCTTGCAAGTGCAAGGACCTGAGTTCAATCCATGGTACCAAAAAAAAAAAAAAAAAAAAAAAAAAAAAAAAAATCAAACCTTAATGAATCAGGCATGGTGGGGGCTCCTGTCATCTTAGGACTGTAGGAGGTCGAGGCAGGAAGATCAAAAGTTAAAGTCCAGGGACTGGGAATTTAGCTCAGTGGTGCTGCTGCCTGCCTCAAAAGTGCAAGGACCCGAGTTAGATCCGCAGTATCAAAAAAAAAAAAAAAATGGTTAAAGTCCACTCTGGGCACTTTAGCCACTTAGCAAGACCCTTTCTCAAAAAAAAAAAAAAAAAAAAAAAAAATTATAGAGGGCCAGGGATATAGCTCAGGAGAAAAGCCCTGAGTCTGATCTTCAGTACTGCAAAAAACAAACAAAATTAACCTAAGTGTTAACCTAAAACATAAATTCACTTATTGATGAGCTCAAAAAACAAACAAACAAAAAAAGCAAATGCACAGATCCAGACAGCATTAGATTCCCACAGGCAAATCCCCACTTAAGACCACAATTTAGTAGCCAGGCATGGTGCTGATATTTATAATCCCAGGCTAAGGAAGGAGGATCCCAAGTTCAAGCCCAGCATAGGTAATTAAGCATCTCAGGAAGACCCTGTCTCAAAATAAATTTTTAAAATTTTTTAAAGGGTTGGAGGTGCAACTTAGTGTGCAGGCTCTGGGGTTAATCCCCAATAATTTTTTAAAAATCACAAGGCAGTGGGGAAGGAGGAACGTAGATTAGAACAGCCATTACAGAGAACAGGATGGAGGGTTAAAAATAGTGCCGGGGGTGTGGCTCAGTGGCATATGACTGCCTGGTGAGTGCAAGGTCATGAGTTCGATTCCTGGTACCAGAAATAAGTAAATGCCATGCCAGGGCAGGTATGCAAAGGAAATTAAAACAGCATATTGAAGAGACACACCCACTCCCGTGCCTGTTGCTATGGAACCAGCCTAAGTGCCCAACTGACGGATGAATGCATAAAGAAAAATTGTTCTCTATACAAAATGGAATACTACCCAGCCATCAAAAAGGAAGATCATTCTGTCATTAGCGGAAACGTGGATGAGACTGGAGGACATTGTGTTGGATGAAATAAACCAGACACAGAACAAAAATGCTACCAGGAAGCTACAGGAAGCTAAACATGCTGGTCTAGAAGGAGAAGAGATTTATGGCTACTAGAGGCTGAGAAAGGGTGGGGAAAAGACAAAGAGGGATGGTGTGATGATCTTGAAAATGCAGTGATAGGAGTAAGTTGTAGTGTTCCATGGCACAATGCGGGCTGCAGTTTACAGTCTACTACGGGTGACCGTCTTGGGAAGCCCCTGAGGAATGATACTTTTCTGGCAGGTGTGAGCCGATTAAAAGAAACAAGGCAGAAAAAGCCCCAAGACCCAGCAGGCGCTCAATGAAACGGGCCGTCCTGGCTGGGCAAGTCTACAGTGAGCACCGGGGTCACAGAGGCAGGGACTGGGGGAGGAGTTACTTAATGCTGATGGCGAATTCCGCAGCGTCCTTCACCCTCTGCCGCACCAGGAACGTCCCGTCGGAGCGGTTGGTGAGGATGCCCTCGGCTCCCGCGCGCTCCATGGGGCCCGCGTACCTGCAGGGACACCGGGGAGGGGACGCGGTGAGACACACGGAGGCCCCTCCCCCGGCTGCCCCCGATTTCCTGATGGCGATGGCCCGGGGACAGCAGTCCCCAGACACCAGGGCAAGGTCACCGGGAGAGGCCTTCAGGGTTCTGTAAGTAGCCCTCGAGGTCGGATGCGTGCGTGGAAAGGGGCCTTTGGGTCTGTCACAGTGGTCTGGTCAAAGAATGAAAAATGAAACAATGCTTTAATGCAATCTTTCTGAAAAGGCAGCCTTCGAAAGGAAAGAGGCACTGGCGCCCGCTGCGAGGTGGACGCAACTCGAAGACGCCGGGCTCAGTGGATGGAACCGGACAGGAAAGCCACGCCTGTGACCCCACGGTCAGAGTGCAGGACGGCCAGCTGAGAAACCGGAAGTGGGCTGCTGGGGAGCAGGGCACAGGGAGGGCGCGCAGGGCCCTGACACAAAGGTAAACGTGCAACGTAAATGACTAGTGGTTATGGTGTGATACGTAAGTTGATATAGTACCGATATAAATATATTATAATGTCAATGTGGCCCCGGATTTAGCTCAGTGGCTCCGCCCCCTGCCGCGAAAGCACGAGGTCCTGAGTTCCATCCCAAGTTACCAAAAAACAACAAAAAAAGTGAATATAATATAAATGTAATACATTTGCTGTGCCACGTAATATAAACATGCAAAGTGCAATATGAGTAATACTAACTGTCCCTAGTACACTCTGTGATGTGAATTTCGATATGAAATATAAATGCAAAATTATTATACATAAGAAATTATGTAAAATGCGTATGTATGGCATAAATAACAATCACTCACTTAAATGTAATTTGTATGCAGCATATGACATACTATAAGTGCATTTTTTTTTTGTTTTTTGTTTTTTGTTTGTTTGTTTTTGAGACAGGGTCTCACTATGTAGTTGAGACTGACCTGGAACTCACCGTGTAGCCCAGGCTGGTCTCGAACTCACAGCGATCCTCCTGCCTCGGCCTCCCGAGTGCTGGGATGACAGGCCTGCACCACCACACCCGACCCCTTCTGTGTTTTGATTAGAGACAGACTCTCTCTAAATTGCTAAACTTCCCAGGCAGAGCTGGAGCTCAGGTCCTCCTTCCTTCCTCAGCCTCCAGAGAGCTGGGGTCACAGGCCTGCACCATGGTGCCCAACCACCTATTGAGTACACATCGCTGAAACTTTCAGCGCACTCTTGAATTTTACAGCCAAAATGAAAATGTCAGCCAGGCGTGGTGGAGCACGCCTGTCATCCCAGCACTCGGGAGGCCGAGGCAGGAGGATCGCTGTGAGTTCGAGACCAGCCTGGGCTACACGGTGAGTTCCAGGTCAGTCTCAACTACATAGTGAGACCCTGTCTCACAAAACCAAACAGAACAAAATGAAAATGTCAGTTGACTTCCCTTGCCCGGCCCTGCACCCGCAGCCCACAGCTTGGCACAAAGGGCAGAGCCAGCGCTGAGCAAAGAGACCGCATCAAATCCAGCCTCTGCCACCTGCCTGCTTTAAGTCCTCAGACTGGATTTTTGCCACTCAGAGCCTCAGTGTCCTCTTAATAAATGTCGAGAAAGCACATGAAGGGCTGAACATGTGTGCAAGGAGACGGGAGCGGAATGATTGTGTTCACTATGGTGGCTATCAAGAGAGGAAGTCAGACACGTGTGGGTTCGAGTCCCACCTCTGTCACTTCCTCACTGGGCGACCCTGAACAAATCACTTCCCCTCCCTGAGCTTCCCTTGCAAAAACAGGATTCCTTCTTAGCCAAAAAGATGGAAGTGAGACTAGCTACTCTCTCAGGGGTTACGAGGAGGATTCAAGTAATGATGCGGGGGGTGTTATTGAAACTATGGTGAACATTTACATTTTAAACTGCATTACAATAAGACCCCTGCCGCCAAGACTCTCCTCGAACCACCCACATCATTCTGGCTACTTCCAGAAGCAGTTGTCCGGCTCCTCTCCTGTGAGCCACTCGCGGTGTGGTCGTGACTGCCCTCGACATCCTGAAGGGGTTCAAGACATTTCCCTTTCGTGGTCATTTTGACTTTGGGGAAGAGCCAGGGGTTCCAGAGCGCTAGATCCAGTGACTCAGGGGAGGACTCCATCCTATTTCTGCGACCCTGCCTTTTCCATTGGGTGGAACTCGGCAGCAGCCTTAGCTGTGTTTTTCCCCCACATCCGGTGAAGACCCCCCGGAAGAGCACCTCCAAAACTGCTGGGAAAGCGGCAAGAACAGTGTGATGGAGCTCAGCGGTGCCGCCGCCTGCCTCACCAGCGCAAGGACCTGAGTTCGATCCCCGTACCCCCCCCAAAATAAACTAAAAAGAGAGAGGGAGAATTTTGAAGGGGGATTTAAAAACGTAAATATTAATTGCATATTTTGACCATCCCTTACTCAGCAAGGTACGGACAGTTGCAAAATGCCCTTTCCTTGCTGTGCCATTATGAAAAAGAAATTGTGGCCTCCAAAGTTAGGCAGAAGACTAAGACTCCATTGATTCCAAGAGCCAGCCCCAAGTCAGAGATGTTAAAATGTGAAAAAAAAAAAAAAGTTCATCTCAGACTGGATACTAGGGCCATAACGGCAGCAAATGCTATTGATATACAAAGTGCCTCGGTTTGCTGGGTCCAAGAGTAAGCCCTCAATGGGCTCATTTATGCCTCCTTGTGATACTGTTAAATAGAGATTGCAACTAAGCTATTTTCCAGGAGAAAACACAGGCACAGAGAGGTTAAGTCACTGAGGAAAGTCACACAGCTGAGTAGTGTTAAGGTTAGGATTCGAACCCAGGTCAGCAGGCTCTGAAAGCCTGTAACCCTCCACCCCTAGGACTGCCCAGAAGTCAATAGGTGCTTACGTCCTGATGAGACCACAGTCAGCCAAGGCCAGGGGCCTCTCCCCACTCCCCAGCAGCCCTCGGCACAGGGCTGGACTCAGAAGTCAACAACCAGGGTTCAGAGAATAAATAGCTGACTGGTCTGGGCCCCCAGCCCACACAGCCCCAGTTGAAAGTGAGAAGAATATGGTTCTACTCACCACAGGTGTACCGACAGGTCCTGAGGAGGTCCCTAGGAACAGACAGAGACCTCGGCTCAGGGCAAAGCCCCAGATGGACGACAGACTGCAGGGTGCCTCATCCATTCATAGGTGGAAAAACGGACAGACACAATATGCTTCACCCACACTGTGGAATATTATTTGGCCATAAAAAAGGAAGGGAATCCTGATACTGTACAGCAGGGATGGACCTTGAGGCCGTGCTGCTCAGGGATGGATGGACAGACAGACAGAGAGGTGAGGGAGGGCAGACAGATAGGTAAGAGACAGACCAGAGAGATGGTGGGCAGGTAGCTGAGAGACAACAGGCAGGCAGAAAAAGAAGAGATGGGCAATTGAGAGATACTAGATAAAGAAGTGATGGTTGGTAAAGAAACAGATAATAGATGAGACAGATGGTGGACAGGTAACCGAGATAACAGACATATAAATAAGTGGAATAGATAAGTAACAGGAAGATAAACAGGAGATGGTTGGGTGGATGGATGATAGGTAGGTAGTTGCAAGATAATAGATTAAAAAGTGATTGATAAAAAGATAATAGACCACATACATGACATTAGGTAATAGATAAATAGGTGATACATATACAATAGATAGGTAACAGGCAGGTCATTAAATAGAAAACAGAAAAAATAGTTGATAAAGAAATTATAGATAGCCAGGCATGGTGGCACACTCCTGTCATCCCAGCACTCGGGAGGCTGAGGCAGGAGGATCGCTGTGAGTTCGAGGCCAGCCTGGGCTGCATAGTGAGTTCCAGGTCAGTCTCCACTACCTAGTGAGACCCTGCCTCAAAACAAACAAACAAACAAACAAATTATAGATAGCCGGGGATTTAGCTCAGTGGTTCCACCGCCTGCCTTGCAAGTGCAAGGACCCGAGTTCGATTCCCAGTACCAAAAAAAAAAAAAAGAAAAGAAAAGGAAATTATAGATAGATAACCAAAGAGACAGTAAATGAGATAAGTAGGTAGATGATAGATAGTAGATAGATACAGAGAGGCAGATCTTAGATGAGGTAGGTGAAAACAGGCAGGGAGGTGGAGAGTATGTGTCCTCCTCCTCGCTGTGGCCATAGGTGGGTGTAGGTAAATCGATGATGAGGGAAGAGAGGTCGTGAGGCCGATGCTAAAGACAACAGATGGGTAGATGGATGGGTGGTAGAAGAGAGGTAGGTTAGGTGGGCAGGCGGGCGATGGGATAGGCAGGTAACAGACAGGTAGAGGGGGTGGATACTTAATGATGCCGGTGCTGGATGGAAGATTAGACAGCGGACAGAGCAGCAGATCGGAGAGCGGGTCGGGGAGACAACAGGTGCTGGGCAGGAGGCTGCAGATGGAACAGTGTAGAAACCACACGGTCAAAGAGCAATCTCTAAAGCTCGCGGGAAAAACCTCCACGGATGCTATGGGCTCTAGAAAGCATCGTGCGTCCTTGTTGAGTTTCGTGTTTTAAAATCACGCGAAGGTGAAAGGGGAGAGGGTTCTTTATTGAACACATCGTTTAGGCACGAAGGGGAACTAATCGTTTCGGGAGAGAAAAGAAGACAAGGAACGCAAGTAGCGGAAAGGCGTCAAGAACCGGGGAGGTTGGGTAAAGGACGGGCGGATGCCGTCTGCATCCTCCTCAAAGCTTTGCCACAGCCTGAATGAAAGCAAAGTTGGCTACGAGGAGACCAGACAGGGCTTCTCCCCGCAGGCTCCGATTGGCTGTGAATGGACAACGGGGACCTTGGGTGTGGCCGAGGGAGGAAGGCGGTGTCTGGGTTTGGGGAGTGGGAAAGATTTGCAGTCACCACGGCGTGAGCGGAGTGGATGGACAGGCCGGCCCTCCGGACGCAGGAGCGGACGCAAGGCCTTCACAGGGACAAGCCACCTGCCGTACACCTGCTTTCCCCTGTGCAGTGTCCCGGATGCCCTTCGTGCAGAAAGTATCAAGGAGGAAGCCAGACATCGTGGCACATGCCTGTCATCCCAACGCTCCGGGAGGCTGAGGCAGGAGGATTGCAGTTTCAAACCCAGCCTGGGAAACTCAGCAATGGAGCAAGACCATGACTCAAAAAATAAAATGGCTAGGAGCCGAGGATTGAGCTCAGCGGTTCTGCTACTTGCTTCGCAAGCCCAAGGTCCCGAGTTTGATCCCCAGGACCAAAGAAAATGTTTTTAAATAAATTAATTAATTAAACGGCTGAGAGCGGAGCTCAGCAGAAAGGCCCTGGATTCCATCCCCAGTGCCACAAGAAAAAAGAATGAAGGAGAAAAAAGACCAGCTATGGTTCTCCGGCCCCTGAGCCGGGGAATCAGGTGAACCCTCGAGTTGGGGTGACCCTGCCCATGTCAGTTGTCCCCTGGATCTGCCCACCCTCCCAGAGCCTCTCTCAGTCCAGCGCGCTCAGGCCACCCAGACTCGAGATACTCACGTGGACGTAGGGCTTCACCCGGTTACAGGGAAACCAGCCAACTTCATTGGTACACGTGTTTCTACCCTAAACACCCAGAAGACAAAACATGAGCAGGACATGTAGGCATCTCTGTATGTGTCCACCTCTCTGAGCAATGGCTGTAGTTTTTCCACCTGCCTATCGGCGGCCCAGAGAGGTGTCACCAAGGATCAAGTTACCAGGAATCAGCGGGACCGGGTCACCTGGGGCCCATCCAACCCTCACAGCCTCAGCCTGTACCTCCCACCAGTTCTGTTCAGCCTCAGCCTTCGTGAGCTCCACGATGTCCCCAGGGTTGAGCCGTAGAAAAGGCCCAAAGGCTCCGGGTGGAGGAGGAAGCCCATAGTATTCCTGAAACACCTCCATCTTAGGCAGACCTAGAGGATGGGGGGAAGGGGGGGACAAAGTGGCTGCAAGTCAAGGACTTTGAAATCTGAGTCTCACTACCCATCCCCTGAGGGTGGCTAAAATTAAAAAGACTCACAATACTAAGTGGTGGTGAGGATGTGGAGCAAGTTTAACACTTGTACATGGGTGGGGGATCCATTTTGGAAAGATATTGAGCGGGATCTACTTTTGGGGGTGCTGAGACAGGGTCCCTCTGTGTAATTCAGGCTGGCCTTGATCTCACTATGTAGCCTAGGCTGGCCTTGAACTCACAGCGATCCTCCTGCCTCAGCTTCCTGAGTGCTGGGATCGCAGGCATGTGTCTAAAGCTGGCAGGCTCTATCTAAAGTTAAATATGCATCCACCCTGGAACCCAGCAATTCCACTCCAATATATGCCCACAGAGATGCAAACATTTCCATCAAAAGTCATGACCAAGAATGTCACATAGTATATTTACTTGCAGTAGTTAAAACTTGGCAACAAACTGATGTCCACATATGGGTGGGAAAAACAGGCTGTGATACAGTTGTGTAGTGGAATAATATACAGTAATGAAAAAGGATGTGCTATTGTTACAAGCAGCCACATTAGTTAATTTCATGGGCATTCTGTTGATTAAAAGAGATCAGATGCCAAAAAACCTACTGTGTGCTTTATTCACAGGAAGCTCAAGGGCAGGCAAAACTGATCTTTGAGGACAGAGGTTAGATAGTAGTCCTATCTGGGAAGTAGGTGGAAGTACTTGCGACGCTACCTGGCAACATTTCCTGTGATAACAAAATGTTCACAAAGGTGTCCCGTGCTATATGGCAGCCACCAGCCAAAGGTGAGAGTCGGGCACCCGAAACGCAGCGGGTGTGGTTGAGTGAAAGGATAGTTAAGCTTATCTCCCTTTATTTAATTTTGTCGGACAATTCTGGAGCGATGAGAACGCCCTAAACTTAAACGCCGTTGTTGATTACTCCGACGTAGCTAAGACAGCAAATGGAAAAGTGGGTACGGGGAAGAAGGACCTGAATAAAGCTTCCTACGTTCCAGGCAGCCCCCCCGAGCGCGTCTGGGTAAAGGCATCTCATGACTTTGAGTTCATTATTTTAAAATTCCCTGTGGGTTCCTGGACCGGAACGTGCGGGCCAGGGTGTGAGACGCGAGAGACCGAGACCCCTGCGGCCACCCCGACCCCAAGCGGCCCTGGGTTTCCCTCCGGTCCCTCGCGCGCCCCCTGCTGGCTCACCCATCTCATTGCGTTTTTTCTCCTGAGCCCGGCGGTGCTGCTTGTCCTGCGGGGGACAGGGGAGGAAGGCAGGCATGGACACCTCGGTCCAGCCCGCGGGCCCCTCAGCCCCACACCTAGGCTTCCCAGGTCCGCCCTGCTGGGCCCTGTGATTTCCCGTGCACGGAAAGCGTTGTGGGCAGGGTGGGCAGGGCGCGTCTTACCCTCTTCACGGTCCCTGCAAAATCTAGGAGAAAGAAGGAAACCGTCAGGGTGCGAAGTGCCCGCTAGGGAAGCCGGCCCGCCTGCCCCGCGCCTACCTGGCCCGTGCCGGCCGCAGGGAGTGACCCTTCCCAGACACTCCTTGTGCGCAGGCGCCCGGCATCGGTGACAGCGGTAACCCTGGTAGAAGGTCCCTCTGGGGAGCAGGAGAAACGTGTCTGAGGCGGGACGGCACCCTCGCCGTCCTGCCAACCCCCGCCTTCTCATGGAGAGAGCAGCGGGTCGGGGCCGGGCTGCCCGTCACTCAGCAGAGGCGCTCGAGGACGGGGAGCAGCCGGGGCCCGGGTTCGCCTCCCAGACACGCACCTGAGAAGCATCTGACAAGCCTTGCAGGACGTGGTCTCCTCAAAGGAAAACATTTGGAAGTCATGCCCGTTGGCAGTGGCGTTCTCTGGGTAGATGTTGGAGCTGAAGAGAGAATTGATACATTGCTCCTTTGCAGGGCTGCGTAGTATTCCGCGGCGTGGCCTGGATAGTCCACGTTGTGCTTTTGTTTTTTTGGTTGTATGAATTTTACTTCGATAGAGGGAGGAGGGGGCGGTGGCAGAGCAAGAAGAGAAGGCGAAGAGATTGAAGATGGAGGAGGAAAAGAAAGAGAAGGGAGCGAGGGAATACTGCGGGCTGAAGACACAAGGAGCTGGCGCGCTGGGGTGTGGGGCGGCGC